GAAAATTCCACCCCAGTGGGGGCATCCTGGAGGACTGAAGGTCCACCGAATACCGCGACGAGAGAGGGCCGTTTCAATATCCACCTGGTTAGTTCAATCAAGAACGAGGCAGTAGTAAAATCGGCTAAGACTCACTTGATGCGCGTGATAGGGCAAACCTCGCTCACCTTTGAGGAGTTAACTACGGTATTTTGTAAAATTGAAGCGGTACTTAATTCACGGCCGTTGTGCCCGCTCAGTTCAGACCCGAATGACTTGGAGTCGTTAACTCCAGGCCATTTCTTGATAGGACAGCCACTCAATGCGTTGCCGGAGTATCCCCTCTCGGATATCAAGCCTGGACGGTTGAGGCGATACCAGATGTTGCAGCAGATGTCCCAAGATTTTTGGAAACGTTGGTCCCTTGAGTATTTACATCTGCTCCAGCAGCGCTTTAAGTGGACGGATAGAACCAGTCCCCCTCACGTCGGTGACCTTGTGTTGGTTAAGGATGCTAACCTGCCGCCACTGCGTTGGCGTAGGGGGCGCATTGTTAATCTGTTTCCCGGTAAGGATGGGACCCCTCGGTCTGCAGAGGTTCTGGTCGGGGACTCGGTTCTCAAACGAGCGGTCACAACGTTGTCCCGGCTGCCAGTTGATTAGGGACAGGTAGGGGACCTGTCCGGGCGGGTGACTGTTCGAAACCAATCCGTTAGTTTTTGAATTCTTACCACGGCAACACGGGTCGCGATTTGACGGTGCCGTCGCGATTTGAGATCTGTCACTTTGTCTTGCTTCTCGAACGGGACGGTACCTGTATATTGACGGTCTACGCTAAAGTTGTGTATCATCGCTAATCCTTATCCATTCCTGCCCCATACCCTTCTCCCTAAGTGATACGGCGTGAGAAGACGAAGGCATCGGTTCCGGTGAGTGATTGCATGATATTTTGTTAAAATAATACATACGGCGCCGCGAATCGCGGCCCATGTCCGACGCGCACCTCGTGCTGGTTTCCGTAGCCCTAGGCTGCCACGAGGTCGCTGGGTTCGGATCGAACACTGGTGGTAGGACCTCTTGTGAGTCCGCACGGGTAGGTACCACCGCCCCGCCTATTTTAGCCGTGAAGCGGTAATGCGTTTCGGTTTGAAGGGTGGGGCAGCCGTTGTGACAATACTGAGACCTTAGAACTATATCTCAAGGTGTGTGGTGCATTTACGTTGTAGATGTCTGTGGGCTCCAGTAACCATTTAACACCAGGTGGGCTGTGAGCTCGTCCACACATCTAAGCAATAAAAAATAATAATATACATTGCTGCCATCTAATAGGAAGGTCATTTATGCCTTTGCGATAGAGCTCTGGTGATCTAGATTCTACAAACTGTGTGAAAGCATTTTGTACAGCCTCCTGAGAAGAAACCTTTTTATCACGTAGAAAATTGTCTAAATCACGAAAAAAATGGTAGTCCGTTGGAGCAAGGTCTGGCGAATATGGAAAGTGACGAATGGTATCTAATTGCAGTTCCTGTAGATTTAAAACGGTTTCTGGTGCTGTATGAGGTCTCGCGTTATCATGGAGCAATAATAGCGAAGATCGATTAATGAGTCGGGGCTGTTTCACTGCAAGTTTTGCTATCATTGTTCGGAGTTCGGCGCAGCAGATATCTGCCGTTATTGCTTCACCAGCTCGGAGAAAGCTATAGTGAATAACACCATGCTGAGACCTGATGCTGAACACCAAACAGTTCCCATTACCTTTTTATTGGTAAGCTTTGCTTTAGGACACTGTTGCGGCGTTGGAACTGAGGTCAGCCATTGCATTTTTCGCTTACGGTTATCATAAAGAATCCACTTTTCATCACATGTCACAATTCGATCAAATATTTCATTTCTGTATCGATTCAACAAGGCAACACAAGTTTCAACACTCGTTTCTTACTGCAGATCAGTCAAACCATGAGGTACTTATTTTTCATATTTTTTAATTTTATTGATTTGACGCAAATGAGGCAATTGGTAAGGTAACGTTGAACCATGCCGCTAATTCCTGGGTAGCTTGGCTCAGATCGGCTTCCACAATCTCTTTCAATTCAATGTTATTCACATGTGTGGACCGTCTTCTACGTGGTTTGTTCTTCAAATCAAAATATCCATCACGAAAGCGTTTAAACCAAAATCGCACGGTGCGTTCATTAGCAGTCCCCTCTCCAAACGAAACATTGATATTGCTAGCTGTTTCTGCTGCGTTAGTTCCGCGTCATCGGAAAGTCGATTATCGAATGTTGCACATTTTTCAAAAGAAGAACCTCAAAGGTACCATTTGAAAAAAGTTTCACTCAAAAATCTCAAACCATGTACCCATGTCCTATGTCAATTTCAAGTACCTATTACAATAAAACGGCAATTTCATAGTTTATCCCCTATTATGTAATACTGACCGGCATCGTGCATACAGCAGAGCGTGACGGCGGTGAGGAGGGCGGCCAGGGGCAGCGCGGCGGCGAGGGCGAGGAGGGCGGTGTGCGCGGCGCGGGGCGGGGCGGGCGCCGGGCCGCAGCGCGTCACGTTGCGCACGGAGTACTGCTCCAGCACGCGGCGCACGTCCGCGTCCAGCGCGCGCAACGTCGCCAGCATCGCGCGCGCCGTCTGGGCGCTGCCCGTCTCCACCGAGCGCAGTTGGAAGCACGGCCTGCGGGCACACGTATCACACGTTACCGATTTAATGTGATGCGATGTGATTTGAATTCCGTTTTGCAGATGGACGCCACGTAGATAGTGTGCAAGAGCAGCACTAACCCGAGATGCGTGTGTGCGGCGGCGTCGTGCAGATGCAGTTGGAGTCGAAGAGCTCGGGGTGCCAGCACTGCGTCCAGTGCAGCTTGCAGGTCGCCCAGCCTCCGCCGCGACCAGCCCGCGCCCTCCAGCCGCAGCAGCTCGCGCTCGCGAACCACTGTCACCTGCACGATACGAATCACATCGATGACGTCATAGAGTTTAACTATTTAAAACGAGTGACAGCCTGCACAGCGCTGACGGTCGACCGATGTAGCGAACTAAACCGACTTGTGGAACTAAAATGTTAAGGCTTTAAGCGGATGTTATCTTCATGCTATGTCGATATTATTATGCTTAGGTGTTTGTTTATTGTGTATGCAAGTTAATAATTTGATTTACCGCGCACTGTTAGAACGATAATATTATGCTAATGCACTTGAACCATAATGAAGTATTGTGGACTTCTTTAGGAAGCGAAGATACACCATCTACAGGATCAGGTAAAAAGACGACGCGGGTTGAGTGAATAGCACTATAGTTCATTCGAGTTAAGAATGCTTTTTTTCCTACCTATGCTGATAGCCTTGAGAGGCAATTTCAGCATAACCTTAACTAGTAGGTTAGCTCACGGGGCTCAAACCTGAAGACGTTGCTAACACTAACCCTAGCAAGAGCCGTGCTTTGCAGAATCTACGACCGGATCGGAAACGCGACTCACTGAGAAGATCCGGCGAGAAACTTAGTGGTCTGTGTCTGTGGGTTAATTTACTCGTCGAACCTTTCGTCACAAGCGACGGGTTCGACGTGGACGGTGACCGGTGCTTGTGATATCTAAAACCACCGTTAATGGATCAGGAGGATCCGTAATGACGTTTGTTGGGCGACGTCGACTGTTTACCATTCGGTTTACAGGATCGGGTATGTAATTTCCAGCGGCTACCACAAGAGGGTTCTCATGTCGTGCCGCCTTCTCAAAGTGTGTGGTGTGTGGTGTGTGGTTACCGCTACTGACCTCGACCCACACCTGTCCGCAACGATCGGCCTCGTCCGAATTACAAGCCAGGACCCGCAGCCTGAAACAAAGCCAACAGCAATGAATTCTTCAGAGGGCGTCTAAAGATGAAGAGGTGTGTTGGTGATAGTTTTAAAAATCTCGTGATAATTAAACGCTATATGGATTTTATATACATATATGGAATATAAATATCTTAAAGATATAGATATTGTTTCAAAAGATTGTTTTTGTGAAATTCACGTTTTTACACTGAATGGTATGATGACGCTAAGCTTGCATCTGTGTACGCGGGTTTGGAACAGCAACATCCGCAAGCCTGTGTGCCGGCCCTGTCTGCCCGCTCGAGGGAAATAATAGCATAAACAGCTTTTATAGAAAAACAAACAATAATGATGAAAAAAATAAATTCGCCTATACATTTTCTAGAAACCATGTGATGCTTAATCTGTGAATGTAAGTTTGTAAATGATAAAAATGACTTTTTATGTGTAGATAGAGGTGCAATTAATGTCTTATTTTTAACTGCTCTAGATATTAAAGAGCTTGGAGTTAATTTCAACGTGACGCTTCTTGACAGACAGAGAGACAGACATACAGACGGACGGACCACAAAGTCATCTTTAAGGGTTCGCTTCCCTTTTGATGACTGGAAACCTAAAAATGTTAATTAGACAAGTTTTGCTTTATAAGTAGTCCTAACACATAGTATGTAGGTATTATAATGCTAAGCATCACCGACGACCCACTGACCTGAATATCCCGTCCGCGTAGTGAATGAGGTTTCGCACGATCTTCAGCTCTCCGGTCACGTTGTCCAGTGAAAATACATCACTAACATTGGACAACGACTTCTCCTGTGGAATTGATGACAGTACTTTTATAATAAATAACTTAACAATTAAATGTAATTCTAATTATTATTGATTTCAGATATGGGATATCAATAGTTATTAGGCGTCGTCCATACGGCGGGCCCTATTGCTAGGCGCGATGGCGCGATGGCGTGCCGAGCCCAGGCAGTGGGCGGGAGGGGAGGGGCGGGACAGGAAGATACTTGACGTTCGCAGTTCAGAATTTTCTTTTTAATCACTCTTTACATTCTTCTTTAATGAAATTAATCTAATCGGACCAGTAGTTTCTGAGATTGGCGCTTTCAAACAAACAAACTCATCAGCTTTAGAATATTAATAATATACTATAGATAAAATAATAACAATAAGTTGCAACAGTTTTTAGGTAATTTTATACCTTTTATAATTAGACCGTAGGCCTTGGCATTGTCTCGAGGAGTTGAATGAGATTACCTGAATAGGTGACTGGAAGGAGGCCGCGGCGAGGAGATAGCGGAGGGGGGCGGCCCCGGGGTCGGCGTCGGCGGCGCGCAGCGTCACCACCGCGGTGTGCGGCGCCACGTTCAGCCGCACGCCCACCGTCACGTTCCCGCCCACGAACTCGGGTATGTTGTCGTCCAAATCTTCCACCTTTATCAACACCTGGATATGCGACGGATCCTGGACACCACACATTGAATGAGACGTCGATATGATGGACCCTGCTTTGTGCAATCGTCGAACCACTCACCAGTCTGTTGTATGCGTCGGTGAGTGTCGGGGTGGTTCCGTGCTTGAAACATTTGAGGGTGATGAGCAGGCGGTCCAGCTGCTCCCGGTCGAGCCGCGCGGCCGCCACCAGCCGCGCCTCGTTGCTGGTGGTGCGCTCCGCCCGCACGGCGCCCAGCTCGTTGCCCGCTGACACACAACACTACACTCAGATTGCACTAGCGGCGGTGACTCGTACTGAGTCTGACTTCCATGTGCAGTTTTATAGATTTTTTGTCTTGTACTGGTTTGGGTGCATCAGTAAGTCAAATTTGAGTACAATATGAAACTCGACCTTGGCACAATAGATTATTCAGAAATTAGGTAAACTTTAATCCCTATTTTAATAAATGATAATGTGGGCTTATCCCACATTTCATGCACACACATATACTCTTCATAATATAAAACTTATATAATATATTTATTTCATATAATTATTAATACACACAGAATATACATTCACACATATAACATATCTATTAATATATTATTACTACATTACATATAAAACAGACATACACACACGACAATTTATCGTGCCGCGTCAATCAGCTGGTCGCCCGTTCGTTCGCGCTGTGGACACGCGCGCTTGGACGGAATGTCGCGGGTAGATCGAAAAGCACTCCTGCGCAGCTGATCGCAGCTAGCCACGCCCAGTCGAAACTTACCTCGTACTGAACGCACGTCGCTATTGCTAATTATATACTGTTGTGTTGTTTTCGAAGCTTTTGCCTCAATTTTGATAACACGCTTTCTTTGTGTTTAGCGTTACTGTACTGTCGTGTAAAGTGTCTTCTGTGTACTGTTTATAAACTGAATCTCATCTGTGCTCGTAACCTTCAATCCTTCATAATTTTAATAATATAGACTGTGTTGTATTTTCGTGTGGACTAAGTATAATTGAATAAACATTTAATTGGTGTGCAAGGTGTCGTACTTAATTTATTAACCGAACACCGTCGACGCCTACTCAGGTACTTACTTACCTTTAACACATTACACTACGCGTCCGGACGACGCATACATACTCATCCACATCTATACGGGAGACAACAATTCGCGTCTATACTGGTGACCCCTGAAGAACACCATAATGAGCAGCAGTGATTCTGTCGAGACCGCTGGTTCTCATGGAGGTAGCAGTGTAAAACCCCGACGAACGAAAAAAATGCGCATTTCCACGATACACGACAACGACATTTTGTCGTCCGACATTCGGAAGTTTAATTTGAAGGTGCCTCCGTTTTCTCCAGAGGACCCAGAAATTTGGTTTGCACTTCTAGAAGGCCAATTCGATAACTATGGCATTACAGAAGACCACATCAAGTTCAATAATGTTATCACTAACCTTGACATTCCTCACGCGAAGGCGGTAAAGGATATTATCGTGCATCCTCCGACCAGCAATCGCTATGATAAAATTAAGAGCGAGCTCATCAGACGTCTCTCCGCCTCCCATGAAAAGAAGGTCAAGCAATTGCTAACTCATGAGGAGTTAGGCGACCGAAAACCATCGCAGTTTCTAAGACATCTTATGGACCTGGCCGGACCGTCCGTCCCACATGAGTTTATCCGAACTATCTGGAGTAACCGCCTGCCGAACAGTATCCAGACGGTACTAGCATCGCAGCCTACTCATTCGCTTGAACAGCTGTCGGACCTCGCTGACCGAATACAGGAAATTACTACTCCATGCAACGTCGCAGCCACTTCAACATGCGGGACGAGTAGTATCAACCAGTCCAGTGAGATCGCAGAGCTGAGGAAAATGGTGGAACGCCTCGCATTAAAGCTCGAAGACCAGACTCGCGCCACAAACCGCTCCCAGAACCGTTCGAACCGAACTCGACCTCGGTGGCGTTCGACATCCCGCAGCAGAACACGATCTGCTTCCAACTATCGACGGTACCCCGTTTGTTGGTACCACGCGAAGTTCGGGGCTAAGGCAAGCAAATGCCAGAAGCCGTGCGACTACAACGAGTCGGGAAATGCCACAGGCAGTCGATAATGGCGACAGACGACTGCCTCAACTCTCCAGGTCGCCTCTTCGTAACTGACCGCACCACGAAAACCCAGTTTTTGGTCGACACCGGTAGCGACCTCTGCGTTTTCCCACGGACCCAGCTACGAGAGCGTCGTGCACCTACCAGTTACAAACTAACAGCAGCCAATGGATCAACCATTGACACGTATGGGTACTCGCAGCTCAACCTGGACCTTGGACTCCGACGCAACTACCCATGGCGATTTATAGTGGCTGACGTGACGAAGCCCATTATAGGTGTAGATTTTTTGTGTCACTATAACTTGATTGTAGATTGTAAGAATCGAAAATTAATTGACGACACCACTACCCTGTCTGTTCCAGCTTCACTGGCCTCTAATACTAATGATATTCTTTCTGTGAAGGTTCCGACTGGCGATTCCCACTACCATGCTTTGCTTTCGCGCGATTTTCCTGAAATTACGCGACCAGCTGGTACACAACGTACGGTAAGCCACAATACACAACACCACATTAGGACTACACCAGGGCCTCCAGTCGCTTGTGCACCTAGGCGTTTAGCGCCCGAGAAACTGAAGGTGGCAAAAGCGGAATTTGAGTCCATGCTAGCTGATGGTACAGCTAGACCGTCTGATAGCCCATGGTCATCACCATTACACCTGGCACCGAAAAAAGACAACGGTTGGCGCCCTTGTGGTGACTATAGGCAACTCAACGCCCGGACTATCCCAGATAGGTATCCAGTACGTCATATACACGACTTTGCGCACAATATCGCTGGTTGTAGTACGTTTAGCACCAGCGACCTTGTGAAAGCCTACAACCAAATACCAGTCTGTGCCGACGATATACCAAAAACCGCGATCACCACCCCCTTTGGAATGTATGAATTTCCTTTCATGACATTTGGGCTACGAAATGCTAGCCAAACATTTCAAAGATTTGTAGATGAGATGATGCGCGGGCTAGATTTCGATGAGATTAATTTATTATTCGAATACCGACGGCGCCTACTCAGGTACTTACTTACCTTTCCTTCAATTACGCTACAAGTCCGGACGACCCGTACATACTCATCCACATCCATACGGGAGACAACAATTCTCGTCTATAATAATACTTAAAGTAGGTACCTACGTCAGAAACAAAATGAAAAGTTTATACAGAAATTCCAAGTCCTGTAAAGTAGTCATTACACGAAAAAGAAATTGTATTTTTTTTGAGTACAGAGTACGTTGGCTGAAAGATCTCATCACATCGTGAATTCCACCCCCCAGCTGGAGACGTGAGGTTTAACTCTCAACTGTATAGTAGTATAGGTGGAAGAGGTTTGTAGGTTACACCGATACAGCAGCACCGCTCGGTCCGTGTGCGCCGGGAGTCTTGTCCTCTACCACGAGGAGCTCCGTTTGTGTAAACTATTTTGAATTTTTATTGCTTAGATGGGTGGACGAACTCACGGCCCAACTGGTGTTAAGTGAATACCCACCCATCTTGAGATATGATCTCTAAGGTCTCAGTCAGTATAAATACACCGGCTGCCCTACCCTTCAAACCGAAACGCATTACTACTTCACGGCAGAAATAAGCAGGGCGGTGGTACCTACCCGTGCGGACTCACAAAAGTCCTACCACCAGTAAAAGAAAAGTAGAAAACCACCCAAGAAACCTCTTGAGAAATGTTTGTGCAGTATAGCAAATGATGAAGTCAGTGGTTACTCGATGACAGCGCGGTTCGTGAACGGGATGTCTGGTCCAGGCCGACTCTTTTTTACATATATTTTGTGTATTTTTCAGGTGACTCGAATTTACTGATGTCTTTTGAACATCGTTTTTGACCACGACATAATTACTATACGTGTAATATGTATGTATATAATATGAATTATGTATGTTATACCTAAAATATTGAACAGACAACATTTAGCAAGTGTGATCTTAAATAAACAAAAACTATTGGTGTGTTCTGGTGTTAGTAGAAGAGAAGTAACGTTAACGTACATATGATGGCGTAGTCGATCGCTGCATTTTCTTCGATGTCTTCATCTATGGCTCGCAGCCTCCCGATTTCGGTACCGATTGGGACTTCCTCTTGCACCAACATCACCACTGGAGGGTCGTCCTGCATAATTCCATCTTGGATTAAAACAACGTAATATAATATTATTATGTGGTCCATATGCGCCACAAGCTAGATCAATTTTCATCTGAGTTGTACTACCAACCGACATAGCGACCTTTCCACCCTTCGTACGCACGTGCGCCTCTACCAGTGATCGTGCCAACGAATGAGTTCGTAACAAGCAACACACACACCCGGCAGCCATATCGTATCATCGAGTACAAAAATATATTAAACCCATCCCTTGTGTAATTAGGTTTGTGAGATATAAAATTGGTTTGTTGTATCTCGTTCTGTTACTTTGCTAATGATACAAATTTAAAAAGATACTGGATATATCTTTATAGTTGAGGACTATATTATATGACAGAAATAAAGAGGACCGTTCGGATTGTCGAAAATCCCGTATTCACCGATCGCTTGGAATTTTGAACGGACTCGGAGTGACTTCGGTTCCCTCCATGTTGCGTACTGGCTGTTCCATGGGGAGTGCTTTGAGGGATGGTTTGCGCACTGTCCGCCACCGGAGCACAATCAATCTAATTAAGATATAAGCGGATGCTACTTACGAGGTTCCTGGCGAAGTGCGGCTTGTGGTCGTCGAGGTCGGCGACGGCGAGGCGCAGCAGCGCGGTGGCTCGCAGCGGCGGGCGGCCCGCGTCCTCGGCCACCACCACCAGCGCGTACTCCGCGCGCCGCTCGCGGTCCAGCGCGCCGCGCGTGCGCAGCACACCGGTCCGCCTCTCTGTCCACAGCGAGCACAGCGCCAACCAATTACTCGCACTGCTCACTCATGTGACTCGTATGTTACTTTACTTCGATGACTTTACATCAACGAGTTTTTGAAATTATCCTGTACCACTGGTATTCAGCAAGCGGGTCACAAAATCATTTGCATTTCCTATTTATTTTAAGACGTGTGCACCAGCTGCATTCCCGCCTGCTGTTCAGTAGAGACCGGAGTCCGTATACATCACAACGTGAATGTCGCCACGCCAGCAGTGATGCGTTTCGGTTTGAAGGATGAGGCAGCCGTTGTAACTATACTGAGACCTTAGAAATCATATCTCAAGGTGGGTGGCGGAATTTACGTTGTAGATGTCTATGGGCTCCGGTGACTATTTAACACCAGGTGGGTTGTGAGCTCGTTCACGTATCTATGAAATAAAAAAATAAAAAAAATACACGATGTTATGCCTTCATTGTGGGAGTCGCTCATAAACATGCGTCAAGAACGCATATCCTTAGAAATGTAGCCTGTCTTGTAGTCTACCTTGAATGGCAATAGATAAGCAAACGAAGCCGAAAGTTTACCGATGGTGAAGGCGGGAGTGAGGTCATCGCTCTGCTGGATGTAGTAGTGGAGCTGGCCGGAGGGCTGCGTGGGGTCGTCTGGGTCCGTCGCCACCACCTCGTACACCACAGTGCCCGGCGCTGTGTTCTGCGTAGGCATACCTATTTTAGCTTTAAGAGAAGCGTGTATGTGACTGGAGATCCTACTATGCTGTTTTAAGCCGAGTAGAATTTAACCGATGGTGCCCCCCATTGTAAAATAAACTGGGCTCATCATTACTTTATAACTGGACAATTTATAAGATAAAGAATATTTTGATTTTTTTACGTTGTGGTATAATAATATATAGGTATTTACGGGTGTTAAGTGAATACCAAGGTCCTACTGATCACACGCATACAGGAAGACATTTTTACCATTGTTCCGTTCCGTAATAGTTTGTTGTAAACTATATAAGTTAATGTTAATAAGGTAAAGTTCGATGAGCAAACTTATCTATGATTGTCTGTGCGAACTGATATATGTCAGAATATAATGTTGATTTGAAAATTATAAAATACGATTGAACTACTAAATTGTTTCTAATTATGCACGTCCTAACAGGTTATGGGCCCAGGACGTTGCAGAAAGTGAAATAGAAATGATTTAACGATTAATTGTTTTAATAGGCGTAATCCGTTGTGTCAATTATTTCCTGATTTTTTTTTTAAAGTTGAAGAAACTACGAAATGACTTCTAATATTGAGATTGATCGACTTACGGGTGATAACTATGACACCTGGAAGATTCACATGCGAGCTATTCTGAAGAAGAATGATTTGTGGGAATACGTATCAGGAAAAATACCTAAACCAATACATTCAGATTCTAAATATTCTGAATGGAATAAAATGGACGGAAAAGCCGAATCGGACATATTGTTAGCTGTCAGCCCGAGCGAGTT